GGGACTTCTTTAAAAATAAGGAAAAAAAAGAAACATAAATATGAATAATAAAATGTCAACAACTACATACCTATCAATGATCACTTTAAATGTAAATGGTTAAATCCTCCAATAAATAACATAAAACAGTCAAACAGATAAGAAAAAAAGACCCAGATAAGTGCTGTCTACAAGAAAACCCACTTCAAATTGAAAGATATACACAGATTGAAAGTAAAAGGATGGAAAAAGATTTCATGCAAATAGAAACAAAAAAGTTGGAGTAGCAATACGTACATAAGAAAAAAAGAAACTTTAAAACAAAGGCTATAAAAGAGAAAAAGAAGGACATTACATAATGATAAATGAATCAATCCAACAAGAGGATAAACCCTTGTAAAAATTTATGCATACAACACAGAAGCACCTAAATATATAAATATATATATTAATGGACATAAAGGGAGAGATTGACAGTAATACAGTCATAAGGGACTTTAACATCCCATTGACATCAATGTCTAATCTTACAGAAGAAAAATATCAACAAGGGAACAGCTGCCTTAAATGACACATTAGACCAGATGGATTTAATTGATATTTTTAGAGCATTACACCCCAAAGCATCAGAATATACATTCTTTTTAAGTGCACATGGAACATTTTCCAGGATATACCAAAAATTACGCCACAAAATAATCTCAATACTTTTATTTTATTATTTTTTTAGAGAGAGAAAGGAAAGGGAGAGAGAGAGAGAAACATCAATATGAGAGCAAAACATTGATCAGCTCCTCCTGTATGCCACCCATGGACAAGTCACAATAAATTTAAGAAGATTGAAATAATATCAAGCATTTTCTCCAACCATAATGGTATGAAACTAGAAATCAATTAAAAGAAAAAACTGAAAAACACACGAACACATGGAGACTAAATAACACGTTACTGAACAATTACTAAGTTAACAATCAGATCAAAGAAGGTATCAAAAGAAACCTTGAGACAACTGAAAATAAAAAATACAACAACCCAAAATCTATGGGACACAGTGAAAACAGTCCTAAGAGAGAAATTCATAGCAATATAGATCTACCTCAAGTAACAAGAATAATGTCAAATAAACAATCTAAACTTACACCTAAAGAAACCAGAAGAACAACAGCAAACAATGATCAAAGTGAACAGAAGGAAGAAAAAAACAACACAAAAGATCAATGCAACCAAGAGCTGGTTCTTTGAAAAGATAAACAAGATTGATAAACCTTTAACCAGACTCATCAAGGAAAAAAAGAGAACACAAATAAAATCAGAAATGAGAAGTTAAACTGACACCACAGAAATATAAAGGATTATAAGAAAATACTATGAACAATTATATGCCAACAAACTGGACAGTTTGGAAGAAATAGATAAATTCCTAAAATCATACAATCTTCCAAGACTGAATCAAGAAGCAGTAAATATGAAAAGACGGATTACAATCAACAAATTCAAATCAATAATCAAAAAAATCCCAACAAACCAAAGCCCCTGAATGGCTTCACATTTGAATTTACCAAACATTCAAAGAATTAACATCTACCCTTCTCAAACTATTCCAAAAAGTTCAAGAGAAGGAAAGGCTCCCAAGCTCATCTTATGAGGCCAGCATTATCCTGATTCTAACACCAAAGACATTACAAACAAAATTATAAGCCAATTTCCATGATTAACATAGATGCAAAAATCCTCGATAATATATTAGCAAATCAAATCTAGCAACACATGAAAAAGATCATACACCATGATCAAGTGGGATTTATTTCTGGGATGCAAGGTTGGTTTAGTATCTGCAAATCAATTAATGTGATATACTGCATAATATGAAGGATAAACATCACATGATCATATCAATAGATGCAGAAAAAGAATTTGACAAAATCTAGCACACATTTATGATAAAAACTCTCAGCAAAGTGGGAAGAGAGGAAACATACCTCAACATAATAAAGACCATATATGACAAACCCACAGCTAACATACTCAATGGGGAAAAGCTGAAAGTGTTTTCCTTAAGATAAGGAACAAGAGAGAGATGTCCACTTTCACCACTTTTATTCAGCATAGTATTGGAAGTCCTAGTCACAGCAATCAGACAAGAAAAAGAAATAAAAGGCACCCAAATTGGAAAGAAGGAAGTAAAACTGTCATTATCTGCACATGACATGATACTATATAGAGAAAACCCTAAAGATTCCACCAAAAAGCTACTACAACTGAGGAATGATTCAGTAAAGTAGCAAGATACAAAATAAATATTCAAAAATTGGTTGTATTATTATTCACCAATAATGAACTATCAGAAAGAGAACTTAAGAAAACAATCCCATTTACAATTGCGTCAAAAAAATAAAGGAATGAAGTTAACCAAGAAGGTAAAAGACCTGTACTCAAAAAGTTATAAGAAACTGAAGAAAATACAAATAAATGAAAGGAAGAATTAGCATAATTAAAATGTCCATACTATCTAAAACAATCTACAGGTTCAATGCAAACCCTATCAAAACACTAATGACACGTTTCACAGAACTGCAACAAATAATCTAAAAACTTATATGGAACCACAAAGGAACCCAAATAGCCACAGCAATCTTGAGGAAGAAGAACAAATTATACTACAAGACTACAGTAATCAAATCAGCATGGTACTGCCATAAAAATAGACACATAAACCAATGGAACAGATAGAGAGGCCAGAAATAAACCCATGCCTATATGGTCAATTAATATATGACAAAGGAGGGAAGAACACACAATGGGGTAAAGACAGTCTATTCAATAAATGGGGTTAGGAAAATTGGACAGATAGATGCAAAAAAAAATAAAAGTAGATCACCTTCTTACACCAGGTACAAGAACAAACTCAAAATGGATTAAACACTTAAATGTAAGACTAAAAACCATAAAAATCCTAGAAAAAAATATGGGCAGTAATAAAATCTCTGATATTTCTCTTAGCAATACTTTTTCTAATGTATCTCCCTAGCCAAGGGAAACAAAAGGAAAAATAAAGAAATGGGACTACATCAAACTGAAAACGTTTTGCATAGTAAAGGGAACCATCAAAGAAATGAAAAGACAAGAAAATGAATGGAAGATGTTCACCAATGATACATCAGATAAGGGGTTAATATCAAAAATTGATAAAGAACTCATACTGAATTGTATGAATTACAATTGTATGAATTACAGTTGTATGAATTGTTGAATTACACCAAAAAAACACTCTATTTAAAAAACGGACAGAGGACCTGAATAGACAATTCTCCAAAAAGAACATACAGATAGCCAATAGACATATGAAAAGATGCTCAACATCACTAATCAGCAGAGAAATACAAATTAAAGCCACAATGAGATATCACCTCACACCTGTCAGAATGGCTATCATCAATAATTCAACAAACAAGTGTTGGCGAGGATGTGGAGAAAAGGGAACCCATGTGTACTCTTGGTGAGAATGCAGACTGGTGCAGCCACTACGGAAAAGAGTATGCAGATTCCTCAAAATTTAAAAATAGAACTACCTTATGACCCAGTGATTCCACTTCTAGTTATATGTCCAAAGATATCCAAAACACTAATTTGAAGAGATATATGCACCCCGATGTTCACTGCAGCATTATTTACAATAGTGAAGATATGGAAGCAACCCAAGTGCCATCAGCAGATGAGTGGATAACGAAGATGTAATACACATGTACAATGAAATATAACTGGGCTATAAAAAAGAATGAAATCTTACAATATGTGACAAACATGGATAAAACTAGAAAGTATTGTGCTAAGTGAAATAAGCCAGACAGAGAAAGAAAAATACCAAATGATTTCACTTACATGTGGACTACAAAGAACAAAATAAACGAACAAAATAGAAGCAGAGTCATAGATGCAGAGAACAAACTGACGTTTCCAGAGAGGAAGGGGGTTGGGAGGCTCAGTGAAAATGGTGAAAGGATTAAGAAGTACAAATTGGTAGTTACAAAATAGTCACGGGATATAAAGTACAGCATAAGGAATATAGTCAATAATATTGTAATACCTATGTATGGTGCTAGGTAGGTACTTGAATTATCAGGGAGATCACTTTGTAAATTATATAACTGTATAACTACTGTGCCATATACCTGAAACAAATATAAATTTTTTAAAAAATTATTTTTAAGTTCATTGAAGCTGTATTCCCCAATAAAAATATTCACGCCGAATAAGTCACCCTCTTCAGTGACCCCAGTGATGAATCACATTTATAAAATATATATTATGGCCTTGCAAAATGAATCTATGCAGTTAAAAGTCAGGAGAGTGGTCACCCTTGGTGCATAGAGTGTGGGTAGTGACAGGAAGAAAGTGTGAGGAGGCTTCTGGATACTGATAATGCTGTTTCTTGATCTGGTATGTTCAATATGTGAAAATTCTTCAATTTATACACTTGATCATGTGTACTTTTTAATATTTCAATAAAAAGCTTTTTTTAAAAAAAAGTCTGCAGAAACTAAACATTAACTGATCCAACCAAAGATGAACATATGATCTGAGCCTTATTAACATTCTATTCTTCACCAAACAATATGTTCTACTTAATCCACCTGAGATAATTCTGGAAATACCACTATTCACTGATATGATGGTTTATTATTATTGCCATCATCATCATTGCAAATTTACAGACAAATATATAAAGTCTTTAAATGGTAAGCATGAACAATGAAGGCTGAGAAGAAGAAACTGGAACTAAATGTCAGTTATAGCTAGTCAATTTCAATGACCTCACTTAACCTTTACAGCTCTGGAAAAAGGTACAATTACTCCAATTTTGTCAAAAGGTAACAAGGTTGGAAATTTTAAATAAAAAACTGCCCAAGGTCAATCTATTTAAACTATAAAGAAAAGAATGATGACACAAATTCAAGTCTGACTCTAAACCCTTGAATACTACCCATTATGAGTTATATGAAATAATTTTAAGCTTTCTATACCTCAAAATATTTATATCTATTTTTCAGAGCCTCAATAGTTCTTAAACTTTCTTCATGTTGTTTTTCTTTAGCCACCAAAAGGGACTTCAGCTTTTCTTTCTGAAATGGAAAGGAATAAATACACAACAAAATCATACTGTTCTTAAAACTGGGTTAAAAATGTGTTTTAGGAAACACATTTAAATTTTAACAGAGTTAAAAGTACACTGAGGACTGCAGTTAAGGAATTCTCTAGCCTGGTGGACTTTTAATTATTAGTATATAAATATACTAATAAAATATATAATATATACAAACAATATAAAAAATTCAAATTTGTCATAAATATTATTTTCAGATATTTTCTTTAAAATGTTTAGAATTTTACATCTTTTCATGAAAAGCTTCATAGAAAGTGAGATATTCAGGGGCAATAACAACAAAATATCAACGATAATCCATGCCACTATATTCAAAACACACTTTTATGGTCACATGTAGGTTTTGTTTTTCCCTTTAAGCAATAAGCAGAAATAGAATCCTGGTCTTCATCTCAATTCAGGACTTAAACCTCCACTGCAGTATCATCTTAAATTTATATAACATTGCACAGTTTTAAAGTAGAATTTATCTTCTTACCTCACTTTCCAGATCATCAGCAACCATTACTTCCTAAATTTAAAAAAAAGAAGAAATGTATTTTCATTTTTGAAAGTTTATTTGAAAAGACTTGAGCTTGGCAAATATCTTTTTTTAAAATTTATCTTTATTGTTGAAAATATTACAGATGTCCCCATTTTCCCCCATTGACCCCTTCTTACCCACCCCCAACCCCCACTCATGGCCTTCACCACACTACTGTCTGTGTCCATGGTTATGTATATATGCATATAAATTCTTTGGTTAATCCCTCCCTACGCCGCCACCCATCCCTACCCTAACCCTAACCCTAACCCTAACCCTAACCCTAACCCTAACCCTAACCCTAACCCTAACCCTAACCCTAACCCTAACCCTAACCCATCCCCACCTTCCCTCAGAGATTTGTCAGTCTGTTCCGTGCTTCAATGTCACCAAATCTATTTTGTTCATCAGTTTATTATGTTCTTTAGATTCCACATATAAGTGAGATCATGTGATATTTGTCTTTCTCTGCCTGGCTTATTTTGCTTAGCATGATATTCTCTAGTTCAATCCATGCTGTCCCAAAGGATACAAGCAAATAGCTTTTAAAAAGACTGGCACGTGCCTTTAAGAGTGGGAATAAAGATGCCCCCCTACTGTCTGCTGAGTTGTCATTCATTCTTCTCACTCCCCAAGTTCAGAAGCACCTTTGATTATTCTGAGAACTCATCAATTATCAACTCCTACTTGCTCTTCCTTCTCACATTTTCTGTCTACTCCTTCCTCTCCAATCCAACAGCCCCAAGTATAGTTCAGTCCTTCATTACTACTACATACCAACAGTATTCTCTGTTCTTACATCAAACATTATAAGTTTCATGTAAAGGTCCCAGTAAGAGAGAACTTTCCTCAAGGACAATTACATGATTTTAGCTCCTTTGGCACCTAGCACCCTTACTTGATTTGAGAGGGGATTGATAACAATTTATTATCAATGGTGATTACTGATAGCAAGATAGTTTTGGATTTTTTTTATTATGCAGATTATTTACCTCATTTAGCTGTAGTTGTAAACCATTGACTTTATCCAATAATATTCTCTGTTCTTGCTGAATTTTTCTTAACCTTTCTTTCAAATCTCCATTTTCAATCTGCAGATCCTTAAATAGTAAAGATAACAGGTGCTAGACCAACCTTAAAAGGGCAATTCTTATGGAATAAATTTTTAAAAGCAGTTTGCTACCTTTTACTAATGTATATGTATATAAAAGAGCTTTAACTACAAAAATTCAATAATTTCAATGATATTCAAATGAGTTTTTTAAATCCATAGATCAGAAATAATATAGAAAATTACAGTCCTGTGATATCCAATGAATATAAGTATACACAAGAGAGCAAACCATCATGATGCTAATAAAAATTAAAAGTATTATCTGGAAATAGGAAATAGCAAACGAATATGCCATTTTAACTTTTGTTTAACACCTCTCATGTTTACAAGACTATTCTGATGTTTTTGTTAAACTAATCATCATTTTAGTGCTCTGCAAAAAAAATATTTATAGTTCCACTTCCTTAACACTACATAGTAAACTATAAAACCCAAATAAAATATTTTTGTTTTAGCAAATGGAAAACACCTATTCAACTTATATTCTAATGGTATTTCAGTCCCAAATAAATCATTTAATTATGAGATTTTCTTCCAACATAATATACATAATAATTATTTTTTGAACACTTTGACAAACATAAAAGGTAAATAGTGCTGTGTGGTTAACAAAATTGTTTTTCTTAATCATAATAAAAATACTTTCAGAAGAAATTCAGATTTTATTTTATTTACATTAACAATCATTTTATCACTATAATTACCTAAAATGAATAGCAAGTCATGATTTACTACCCAAAACAGATATATTTAAATGAACAAGAAGTTATGTAAATTTGTTAAAAATTATTTGCTTCCTATTCTATCTTAAAACAATACTCTCTGAGAGATAATACTGACACAAACATTCAAATCAAAAGTTGTCTTTCAGAAGGGACTGGATAAGAAAACAGACTCACAAAATATGACAAACCACCTTTGCTCGCCCCCACTCATTTCCCCTCGTTTTTGTTCCGTCTCTTTTCCTCCCAGCCCGCTAAAAAAACATTGGAATTCTCTGCAAAGGAAGACAGCATTTTTTTTCCTTTTTACCTGAATGCTTTGGTGCTCCCTCTGATTCGACTTCATATTTACTTCATCTAGCATGTGTGTCAAATTTCGCTTCAGTGAAACAAAAGAGAACACAGGTTAGCATGTATGAGAATACAGAAGCATATATTTTCCTCAATTGGCAAAAAACCCAATTAGTGATTTTCAGTTTATCCAAAATTAAATTTTGGTGTACATAACACAAGGTAGCACTGTTTCCATTTAAAACTTCAAATGGAAAGCATCTTTAAGGATATTGGTTTTAAATAAATCAAACATAATTTTCTTTAAAATACTGAAAAATAACACAACTTAAAATCCTTATTTTTAAGGATTTATTTTAACCAAAGTCACCAAACTGTGAAAGAGAGAATTTGTACTAGACAGAAAACTCAAGTTGTGCCATAAAGCATCATCAACCATTCCCAAAGGAAGAATTTAGTCTTTAAAACAGGAGGAGGAGACACATAATGTTGAAAGAAAATATAAAAATTGTTTCTCTCTTTGCGCACTGATGAAATAAACTACCAAACAGGCGTGGCAAGTACGAGCCAGACAATCCTCTGGCCAGAGTTACATGAAAGACCTCTAGTGAGGTGGCTGGGTATGTGCTGTCTGCCCTTACTCTTTGAAACCTTATTGCCGCTTAGAGGTCTGCTTTAATAAAAATATAGTTATTAAACAGGAGAACAAACAACCTCCTTTTTTATCCAAATTTTAAATCTATACAATTTAGAAAGCCATTTCTTTCTTCCTATTTGAGAGCTTAAAAAAAAAAAAAGCTAGTGCTTTAATTCTACAAGATAATATTTTATGTTTTATATTTGTTGAGTTTTGTTTAACCAACTGTTTGAACAACCATTCTAACAAGTCTGGACTTAGAATTACATGGACAAGTTCCCATTAAACAGATTCTGTATCTACAATTTGGCCCAAACTACATTTCTAGCCTCTGTCTTTCTACCAAAGGACTTCTTCAGGCGGAATCTGATCAGTCTCATACCACTTTCATCCCGCGCCTTCCCATCAAGAGGGTCCTTCATAACCTGGCACCTGGCTACCTGCCCCGCTGCTTTGCCTGCTCCATGAAGTGCACGTTACTCAGTCACTCTGGCCTTGTTAAACAGGAGCCCTCATCAGGGGCCTGGCACTTGCCCTTTCCTCTCTCAGTGAGGCATCTCCCAGAGCCCTATGGCTCCCTCCTTCAGATCTCTGTTCAAATGTCACTTCCTGGGAGAGGCCTTTGCTGACCACACAATCTAAAACCATTCTCCACCCTCTCCCTCCTTCATCTGCTAATCCTGTTCCACAGCTCTTCAGAGCATCTGCTATGACCCTAAATACTCTCTCCCAGTCATCACTCTCACTAGGCTGGGAGTTAGTTCCATGAGCCAGAAACTTTGAGCACTATGATCTCCCCAGCACTTAGAACAGTAATTAGCATATAACAGGTGCTCTACAGATATGTGTTAAACAAACTAAGTTTTATTTTTTAAACTATACTGTAGTCTTTTGATAGCAGGGATTATATGGCCCTTAGTACTGGAAAATATCCTATTTACAGAATATATTTTTAATGTATTCAATAAAAATGGAAACAAATGAGTTTTATAGTTCCTAGCAGAATATTAACTCCATGTATTATTTTAGATAACACTAAGTATAATGACATTCCCATAATAACATTCAATAGCTCTTTAAATATCTATATATTTCAGAAATCATTTTTCTCTGATTCTATGTGAGATGGCTGGTACCAGACACAACAATGCACACTTTATTTCACTCTACCCCCACTTAGATTATCTGAGGAATGAGAGAGAAGGTTGACACAGTTGCTCCAAATGGAAAAGAAAAGTGACAGCAGACATGACCCATGCATGAATGTATTACTTAATTCTGATGGATTAAAACAGAAAACATGCTTTAATATAGCTTTCAGATTCAGGGGAGAGGTAGAGAAATGATGCAGAACGATGATCAGAATTGCTCAGAAAGTACCTGATTACTTTCTCTTCAGGGTTTGGAAGTGCTCAGGTTCCTCTCACTAGAGAAAAGCTGAAAGCCTGGAAGGAAACAGCCAGCAGAAGAGGAAAGCTGCCTACACTAGCTTTTGAGCAAGCTGGATAGAGTGCCGTAAACCAATCCCACTTTACCTCGAAGAGATCAGGGCAAAATGATGAGGCATTTACTGAGACTAGGTCACAAAACCAGGGTTAAATAATGACTTGATAATAAAATAAGTGCAAGGTATGAATTATTTCATGTCTTGTGTGTTTTTTTTAAGAAAAGTCTTCATTAAATTAAATACACACAGAGAGAAAAAAGGAATCAAAATGTTAACAGTGGTATTAAAATCACAATATATAATCAATTTTGAGTTCTGTTTTCTTCTTATTACGCTGGAAGAATTTTCCCGTAACAGTAATATTTGATCTGTTATAAGAGAGAACAGGAAAAACCATCTATGATCTGCCAGGCTAAAATTCATCATTTAAGAGTCTCAACAAGGTGCAGTATCTCATACTTGAAAGGGCTGGATGTTCAAGGTCAGCAATCAGGAGGCTATTTATTTCCCACTGGATGCATTCATTATAATTAAAATCCATTGTCTCAAGCTGAGTAATAGTATTTAGATAAAGCCTCCAGATCGTAATACCTACGTTCTACATGGGCATGAATAACTGAGCAGAGAGAAGCACGCATTTAAACTCAAAACAGTTATGTATAATCATTAACCACTTTTACTAAGCACTTTATTTAAACTGCATAATATATATAATTTTTTAGATTAAAATTAAGATCTACCTGTTGTAATGATGGTCCTTTCTTCCAAAGTTCTCTCCCTGAAGATTTAGAGAGATGAGGAAGAGAAACAGTGAAACAGCAGGTTAACTTGGGCAGATATGAATTCCCTAACTATACAATTGAGTCAATATGAAAACACAAAATTTTAAAGTTTCCTCTAATGCTTAATACTTTACAGTTCAAATAATAGTGAAATATCATTTTTGCATCTCAAATTGGTGAAGTTTTTTTGTTGTTGTTATGACAACATCCAGGTAGATAACATTCAATGCTAGGAAGGGGAGACAGGTGAAAAATGCAATATTTAAAACACTCTGAAATTGAAAGGCAATTTGTCAATATATATTAAAAGCTTAAAGAAATGTGGATACTCTGAAACCCCATGATTCAATTTATAGGAATTGATCCTAACATATAATAAAAGTATGCTGAAATAGTTATGCATAAGGACAGTCACTTAATTGTCATTTATGTTAGTAAAAAATATAAACAACTTTAATGACACCTATAGAAAATTGCTTAATTAAATTAAACTTAAATAGATGGAATTTTATGCATCAGTAAAAATCATACCATAGAAAAAATATTTACTTATGAGGGAAAACACTACAAAATATATTAAGCAAAAAGTAATCTGCAGCTCACTCCAGGCGACCTTGATTTCATGCACATAGGCAGAAGAGTGGAAGGATAGGACTCAAAATGTTAATAAAGGCCCTCAGTAGTAGGATGAGTAACTAATTTTATTTGTTGTACTTTTCTGTATTTTCTAATTTCTCTTTAATAAACATAGAAAAATACTTGGCACAAGTATTTGATAAATATTGGTTGAATATTTTATATACAGGTTTGAATGATTCTTTAAAACTGTTAAGTATAAAGTTAAGAGCTTTACCCCCCCATCAAAAAATATATATTGCTAAAACAATTGATTTGACTCTTTCTACTCAGTTCATAAATTACTCCATAGTATCGTAGGGTTTATTGATAAACTAAAAAACATTTGCAACAGACACTGTCTCAGTACTGAATATTTTGCTTCTTACACACTGTAATTCTACCATCTAAATCTTTAAAAGCTGCTCCTTATCATCCTGGACTTTACTAGATACAGAAAACTTCTGGTACCTTTGTTGGTATTTTCTGATGCAGTCTTCAATAAGGTTAGAATGTCCAGATTGTCACCAATTCTTGCATAGTAAGAACTATCATGGCCAAGGGCATCCAACAAGCTTATATCAGCACCATTTTTAATTAAGACTTCTACAGCATCTTTGCAACCATACTCGCAACCTAGCATGAGAGCAGTTCTAAAAGGGAAGACGAAAGAATGAAAGACCTTGAGAGAGATCCAAAAAAATACTTCAGAAATCTTCTTCCAGAGCCCCTGTTTTTAAAGGACAAAGATTATTTTAAAAAGTCATACTTGCCCTAGCTGGTCTGGCTCAGCGGTTAGAACATCAGCCTATGGACTGAGGGTCCCAGGTTCGACTCTGGCCAACGGCACGTACCTCAGTTTCAGGCTCGATCCCGGGCCCCAGTAGGGTACATGCAGGAAGCAACCAATCAATGTGTCTCTCCCACATCGATGTTTCTCTCTCCCTTCCACTCTCTTTGAAAAGCAATGGTAAAAATATCCTCGGGTGAGGATTAAAAAAAAAGTCACACTTATTACAGATTCAAATTTCACTCTATGTTTTAATCTTATATTTTAACTTCACTGCATTTATAAAAACATTTGCTTTGTTTTTAGTTTTCAGAGCTAAAATCTTTCTTTACTTTATATACATTTGTTACTTACTTCTTCTACCAAACTAACTCCCTTTATTCCTGTCCTACAAGTAAATTACCACAGAAATCTTTCACAACTGATACCGTAACCCACCTGCTCTAAACCTAAAACAACAAACCCAAACTATTCAAGTCCCTTTATGAACTGAACCACAACATGCAAACCTCCCCAATGAATCTCTTCTATTCCAAACAACAAGAACCAAATGCCTGTTCCTGATTTCTTTTTTTAGAAGAGCCCTGCTTTTCCTACCTGGAGACCTTCACACCTTCACACCTAATTTTAAAACTTACCTCCTCAAATAAACCTTCCTCAATTAATCCCATTAACATGGACCACTGGTTTATTCTGCCATGACAGACTCATCAGCACTAAACACTTAACAGTCTATGAGCAAATAGTAATAATGCAACAAAACAATTAAATCATCACACAAATTTAGAAGGATCCTAGTAATTATTTTGCCCAATTGTCTATTTTTATTGCTGAGGAAACCAATACCTAATGAAATGAAATGACTTATCCTATATCTAACTAATTGTCTTCAATTGTGAATATTGTATTTCATAAGGAAACTGATTCTTGCTTTACTCTGCTTTTTATGTTCTATTTCTCTTTTATACTCTCCAAGAGTTACTGGTATACAATTTTATAAAAAACAGGCATTAACAAAGTTTTTGCTATTGGGGAAAAATGCTATAGGACAGGGAATAAAAAGAAACTTAAAAATAGTGTCAGAACCTAAGATTTTTATTTATAAAATCATCTGCTATCTACTCTATACAACACACATTGCTCTACCTTGCTGATTTGTGTGTGTGTGTGTGTGTGTGTGTGTGTGTGTGTGTAATTCCAATTAAAAAAACACAAGACAAATATGCTTGGAAAAATATAAGAGCAATAAAAAAACAAGGCATTATATATGGATCAACCAGATCATCCCTCTCCAATACTAAAATTTATTTTTAAATCAAATTTTCTTAGTCATGCTTGGAGTCAGATTATAGTACCTGCAAAACCAAAGTAATACAAAAAGTCACTTTCTTAATAATCACATCAATGATTTAACTGCTTAAGAATTTCGTCCTTTGAGATGCCTAAACAATAAAAACAACTAGAGCTAAAAAAATCTGACATCTAAAGCCTTTATACTGCTCCACTTCCAATGAACTACAAACAACAGGATACATGTTTAGAAAAATAAAATTAAGTAAAAAGAAACCAACAACTTCACTCATAATCATCTATAAAATCCCCAAAACTCATTATAAATTACTTTAATGCTTCAACTAGTGGAGGGGTTGTTTTTCAGATACTTTGTTGTCTGAAACTTTATGACCATAAACACCAGATTTATAATATAGTAAGCAACATGATACACTAGACCTAGAAAAGGGGAAAGGGAGAATCACAGACTGAAATTATAAGTGCACACCAACTAAAATAGCATCAAATACAGAAGCAAAAATAAACTAAAGGAATCTTGGGATAGAGAATGAACTCAGTGTCAGAGAAAGAGGTGGCACTGTGCCTGGGCAGAGTAAGGAAACAAAATACCTTGAGAAAATTGGTACTAAACAAGTCAAGCTCCAGGACACCCAGGAACCAAAAGACCCACTAACATAGTGGACTGTAGATATAATTTTTACTCTCAAAAGATTCACAAATGAAGAATTGGACGGTAGATCTAATTTTTTATTCTTCTCCCTTGTACCTTATTTGAGCCCATTTCATTAAACATTTTCATAAAGCTTAAAATAACTGGGGTCCTCTTTCTTCAATTCATTGACTGAAACATAGGCCCTAGTCGTTGCTTGTATTCTGCATCTACCCGTCATCTTCTCCTATGTGCTCTCCATCCTTCTTCAGCAGACTTTGAAGAAAAATAAGACGTGATACTAATTCCAAGGAAGGGCTCAACCAAAAGGCCATCACAGCAGCAGAGTTTCAGAATCACTGTGCATGCAGCTGGTGTATGGAGAGCTGTGATTAAAAAAAAAAAAAAAAAATTACCTGTTTTGTTTGTCTCTGGAATTAATATCCGCTCCTCTATCTATCAGCAGTTGACATATTGTTGGCCTACACATCTGAGTAGCCAGAACAAGTGGTGTCCGCCCATCCTAAACAACAAAAAAAATAAAACAGTATTAAGACAACAAATCACCCAAAACATAAAAGTCAAAACACATGAGTTGAAACGAGAATAAACATAAATTGACTTACTACATCTTTGGCATTCACTGAGGCCCCATGGTCGCAAAGCAGCTGTATGCTAGAAGGACAGTCTGCCATAGCTTTGAGGAACAAAGGAAAATGACAAATGGTGAACAGCTGTTGGTAAGACATGTGGTGTTTTGCTAGGCCCATATAAGGGATAAATTCTTCACTTTCTAAACTACCAAGCTTCACATCATTCACTCTCAGTTTAGCATTATAAGCATCAATTTTCTGTCTGAAAATAAATTAGACAAAATCATTTTATAAATTTTATATAATTTATTATGACCAACCATTATTATCACCTTTGCAGAAGACAAGAATATACTGCTCTTCTAAGGGTAAACACAGATAATAAAAATCAAACTTAAATTTTCTATTTATAGTAAGTTTTTAAACTGGCTATTACTGCCTTATCCATGAGGTATTAGCTGAGTTTTTACTAAAGAATCGTATTTACTTTTTTACAGAAGAGCCACAGTAGATAAAGTATGACTCATACAACTCATATTCCAGTTCAAAAGCAAAGATTGCATGTCTGCCCTTAATGACGCAAAGCATGATCATTTTACTAAAAATCATAAAAATTGCACGATGTTTCCTCTCTGACCAACACTAGAGTTCATATTTGTATTAGGAAAATACTATCTAGAAGTTCATAAAATAAAATTGTGTTTATACTCCCCATGAATTTTTTTAAAGTACAGATTATTAGCACAAAAAGTACTGACAAAGTCAGCATTCCCTTCTTTTGTGGAATTCAACTGAACAAAGCCATACATACATAAGAAAAATCAAGTAAATATTCCTTTCTGGACATCTTTAATCCAGCAAGACTTTCATATAAAATACATAATCAATTGAAAAAAGGATAAACTGAAACTGAATACATTAATTCAGAAAATATAAAATTAAAAAACACTCAGGCCCAACGAAAATAAGAATGAAAAACTGTAAAGCATGATAAATTCCAGAGTTATGATATAATGAACAAATAAAGTCACTATTAAAGGTGCTATGATGGAGAGAGCCAGCTGTTCCCCAAACTCTGATGGCCCTTTCATCCATGGCAGTAAAGTTGTGCTGAGCACACGGTGACTCCCCCAGAGACCACAGTTCCCAGTGTCCCCTGAATATATATATCACCACATGAGTTAGATCATGCCTATGAAACCTAACAGGATTGATGTGTGCTAACTTCTGAGTCTAGGGCTTAAGAGTTAGACAGTTGAGATTAAAGATGGCAGCGGACTGAGTGGAAGCTACACTGACACTCTCCCAGGACCAAATTGGAATTACAACTAAAATATAGAAAATCCATCCTGAATAATCAACTGCAACTGAAGAAGAGCTGGAGAGCACCCTCATAACCAAGGAGGAAAAGTGGACACCACAGAGACTGGTAGGAAGTGTGGAGGCGCAAGAGGGATGGCTGGGCTCCCATGGGCAGCAGCTGAAGGTCCAAAGGGATCTCTCAGCTGTGGGGAGTTCCCACTGAGGACTATGGGGCTTAAATCCCAGGCTGGGCTTCCCAGCCAAGGCACCAGAATTAAGAAAGGTGCTCGCATAACATCTGGCTGTGAAAAGCAGCAGGTTTCTGTCTACCAGGGAGAGAAGGCTGAAAATGCAGACACCCTCTTAAAGAGTCAATGCACAAAGTTTTGTGTGCAGCCACTCACCTTGGGCTCCAGCAAAAGGAGGGCAAAGAGGAATGCAGCTGTGTGAAGAGAACCTAGGGTTGTGGGCTCTGGACATAGAGCTCACAGGGCACCCCTATGGATTCCTGTGCCAAGTCATTCCCCTAGACTGCAGAGGCAGACATTTACCTTCTAAGCAGGTTTTGCCTGAGGGGGAAGCTATTGCCCCATCCTGCTGGAAAACCTCTTGCCCTACCCTGTGGAGTTTCTACAGCCTGAGGCTCATTAAGAGAATCAGATTAATAAGCCTGCATGCAGAGGCAGAACTCAGAGTGCTTTGAGTCTTTACCTGATCTGCTTCTGGACCTGGGCCTTGGAAAAGTAGACTTTTGTGTGCATCTTGGTCCTGTCCAAACTCACCCAGCCCCAGCAGAGGAGACCTCAAGCTGTGGGTTGTTGATAGCTCCAAACAGGATACTAAGGGCCAGTCACAAACAGCGTCTGACTTCGGCCTGCCTCAGAGGCCTTCCAAAAAGACTGAGAGTCCTAGCAGATCTACCTAATACATAGAAACAAACCCAAACAGGCAGCCAAATGGGGAGACAAAAAAAACAAGCCCCAAATGAAAGAACAAGAGAAGTCTCCAGAAAAAGAGCTAAATGAAAAGGAGAAAAGTAATCTATCAGATACAGAGTTCAGAGTACTGATTGTAAGGATGCTCAACAGCATGAAAAAAGATATGGAAACTATGAAGGAAATGAAGAACAACATAGCAGAAATAAAGAATACATTGGAAGGAATAAACAGCAATTAGAGGAAGCTGACGATCAGATCAGCGAATTAGAAGACAAGGTAGAAAAAAAATCACTCAATCAGAGATCTGAAAAGAAAAATTAATTAAAAAACAGTCTAAGGGAGCTGTGGGACAACATGAAATGTAACAGTATTTGCATTATAGGAGTGTCAAGTGAGGTTGAAAGTAAGCAAGGTTTAGAGAATTTGTTTGAAGAAATAATGGCAGAAAATTTCCCTAACCTGGTGAAGGAAAAGTCACACAAGTTCAGGAGGCACAGAGTCCCAAGCAAGAAGAACCCAAAGAGGTCCACACCCAGACAAATCATAATTAAAATGCCAAAGATTCAAGACAAAGAGAGAATATTAAAGGCAGCAAGAGAAAAAACAATCTGTTACCTGAAAAGGAGCTCCCAAAAGGCTGTCAGATGACTTCTCATCAGAAACTGTACAGGCCAGAAGGGAAAGGCATGAAGTATTCAAGGTAATGCAAAACAAGGACCTAAAACTACTCTATCCATCAAGGCTATCATTCAAAATAGATGGTGAAATAAAGAGCTTCCCAGACAAAATAAGGCTAAAGGAGTTTATCACCACCAAACCAGCATTGCAGGAAATGTTAAAGGGACTGCTGTAATTAGAAGTAGAAATAGACGCATTGCAAGAAATGTTCAAGGGATTGCTGTAATAAGAAGAAATAGAGAGAGAAACATAAGCATAAAGAATTAAAATGGCAATAAATAAGAACCTATCAATAATAAACTTAAGGACTTTAAGAGAGACATCAACAGCAATACAGTCATAGTCGTAGACTTTAACACCCCACTGACTTCACTTGGGTAGATCTTTGAGACAAAAAGTCAACACAAAAACAGTGAATAAATGGCACACCAGATCAGATGGATTTAATTGATATTTCCAGAACATTTCACCCCAAAGCTGCAGAATATACATCCCCCTCAAAGAGAGACCACATGTTAGGACACAAAACCAGTCTCTACAAGTTCAAGAAGATTGAATTCATATCAAGCCTCTCAGATCACAAGGGCATGAAATTAGAAATCAACTACAGTAAAAACACTCAAAAACATTCAAACACATGGAGGCTAAATAACATGTTATTAAACAATGAATGGGTTACCAACAAGATCAAGGAAGAAATAAAAAACTTCCTGGAAACAAATGAAAATGAACACACAACAATCCAAAATCTATGGGACACTGCGAAAGCAGTCCTACAAGGGAAGTTCATAGCACTGCAGGCCTACCTCAAAAAGCAAGAAAAATTTTTAGTAACCTATTTAACCCTGCAACTTAAAGAATTAGAAAGCTCCCCTGTGAAGCCATCCAGGCCAGGGCTTTTGTTTGCTGGAGTTTTTTTTATTGCTGCTTCGATTTCATCAGTTGTTATTAGCCTATTCAGGTTTTCTGCTTCTTCCTGATTCAGTTTTACATGATCTCACTCATATGTGGAGTCTAATAAACAAAACAGACTGAGGAACAAAATAGATCCAGGAACACAAAAGGATGGAACAGACTGATGAATCTCAGTGGGAAGGGAGGGGTGGGGGAGTGGGTGAGGAGAGATTAATAAAGGAACTTATATGCATATATGCATAACCCATGGCCCAGATTATAGTGTGGTGAAGGTCTGGGGGGGGTGGCGCGATGCAGGGTGGAGGGATTAATGGAGATTAAAAGGGAGGATATCTGTAATACTTTCAACAATAAAGATATTTTTAAAAAAACAGTTATACATTTCTGCACAATCTTTCTCCTCCTGTTATCAGGAAAACAGAGGTGCCTGCTATCAGCTTCAGTCTTAAAGATGAGGACAATGCCCTAGGCTATGGTAGAACGGCAAAATAAAAGAAATCTGGATCCCTAAATGACCATATGGAGCAGAGGCACAAATCAATCTGAACATCAAAGAAATTAATTCTGGAGTACTGTCAACAGCCCAGCAGAGAAGCTAAGGTCATCACTGGATTTGAAATATTTAAAGTGGATAGAAAACTTAATGCAGACAATTAAGTGAGTTGTGGGTGATAGTGCCGATGGTAAAACATGTCTCCTGATATCCTACACAACAAATTTCCATATGAATTTCTGACAGCTATGCAGTCACAGTTATAATTGGTTGCCAGCCATCTACTCTTGGACATTTTAATACTGCAGGGGAAGAGGATTATGGTTACCCCCACTGAGTTACACAAATAGATATATTTCTAGTCTGTTTTTTAGTGGTCTCTCCATCCTCATTTGAAAATGTGAAAAAAAAATTAGTACGTGAGGTAACTCACCACTGTCTAAAGACTCCTTTCTTGCTTGTTGGGACTGAAATTGATCTGAGATGACCCCTCTCCTTCTGTGAAACTTGCCAAGAACAAACAGAACCCTATCACTCCAGAGATTGCTGAAAAGCTGGCCCGTGACCAGAAGACCATCAAGTATGTGGAGTGTTCAGCACTCATAAAGAATGTATTTAACAAAGAAGCAATGTTGGCTACCCTGGAGCCTCCAGAACCAAAGAGCCGCAGGTGTGTGCTGCTATGAACATTTCTCCAGAGCCCTTTCTGCACATCTGGTGTCAGGATAAGACTAAAAGCAATGTTTAAATCAAACTAAAGATTAAAAATTAAAATTCA